TAAGGTCCTGATGGCTAAAGATATCGCCTTATATTGGCTTGGCATTTCTTTCTAAAGTGAGCGAGACATTCCAATAGTTATATTATGCAACAGAAATTCAGAAGATTGTGCAACATCCGCCATGCCGGGCGATGACTCTGCAGCAGTCGTTCCAGCTGTCAGGCGACTGTTCCTGGCTGTTCAGGATGTGGCACGCCATGCAGTTCGAGGGCCAGTGCTTCAGCAGCAGCCCAAACATGCGAAGCACAGCGTGTGCGCTTTGGCTAGAGCAGGCGAGGGTTGTGATACTGTGACAGTGCGTTTGTCATTCATGTTCGGACAAGCAAAGGAAGCAAATAATCTAATCTATCAGTGCAAGTGCAAGCCTGAACAGGCAAAGACAAGAAGAATGTGGAAGTGCGCTTCAAGTCTTTCATGGATCGGTTCAGGAGTGGGTCTTGGTGATTTAGTGCACTGTGATTTTGTCTCATCCGATTCCCTTCGCTTCTGCAGGAGCCGCATCCAGAGGGTGAACCATGAGCATGCGGTGCATCAACGGGACGTCATCAATGTGGACGCAGGCACCAAGGAGAAGGAGAAGATAAAGGGGAGAGGCGGGACATTCATGATTCCCAATTGCCTGATATCAATCAGTTGAGCTTACTTCGCAACTCACAGCTCGCAACTACAATCGATAGGCCAGTGGAAGACATGGACGGCGGCTGCAATCCTCCGCGTGTCGTTCGGGCCCCATACAGTTGTGCAGTCAGGTCACCTTACTCAGAAATTGTTGCGATGCGGCGGTAACAGCTGTACAAGTTTCGGGACTCCAATCAGACTCCAATTCTCGAAATCAGTGTTGCTGATGCCCAGGTTGGGCAGGTCGACAGCCAATATTTTGCGTGTCGGCAAGGACGGCACATCTGTAGTGCTCCCGAAGTTGCTCAGCAAATCGCCGACAATGTATCCTGTTGGCACTTAAACGAGTAAACTTAGATGCTTTCAATACTGTCGTGGCTCGTGGCTACAATGCTGCAAGCTGCAAGACCATAATATCATAGCGTCACTAATATTAATATGACATAACGATAAATAATAACCTTATCATTGCTAACACCTCCTCAGGTTTTCCCTCAACAGTTTGGCATTTTGGATGGGCGTGGGCACCGACACCATTTCGAAGGCCTGCAATACTGGGGTTTGCTGGAGTTCAGTTCACGTCGTTATCAGTCTATTCAATTCGGTTGGTCGATTGAATTGATGAACGAGCGTGACAGCCTGCTTTCAATTCCTGGATTCGACTCTTCGACACAATCAAAGGCGCGGAATGCGCTCTGTCACTTTTACCTGGGGGAGCAGAAGCGCGGCTTCATAGAGCAAACGTCGTCGAAGGACCAAACCAAACTGACGAGCGATCCAACCCAGTCACAATTCCTAAACTGAGAGTTTGTGTGGTCTTTTCGCAGGACCACTGTGCGGTCATCGGCTATCACATTGAGTTCGATGAGACTGGCCAGTGTCTTCGTCTTCGGAATGAACAGTGTAGCGCCGAGACCAACACGACACTCTCTGTGTTGGTAGCTTGGTAGCATGGAATGAGCACATTATTTTCGGTATTCATGTGTATTGCCGTCTTTGCTGAAGCTCTGCCAAGGTATCGCGGGTTACACTGCTTGCCACTGATGCGACGGGGCAGATGACCAATTGCAAGTTTGTGTTCACCTTAGCGAGCATGAGATTCAGAATGAATAGGCACGACATTAGACGAAACCAACACAGCAATTGATCAGAACTTGTTCTCGGTGAGGTGGTGAATCCGCCAGCTGTGTTGCAGCGGAAGACGGCTACGGCATTGTGGGTCGCTATCGAGAAGACACAGCCAGTGCCGCCGCTGAGTGCTTTCGCAGCACTGTGTTGTGTCATTTCATGATTGTCGTAAACATCTACGGTCCAGAGTCCAGAGTGTCCAGACAGAGGTCAAAGTTGTGGACAGCCTAGGTTTGGCAACCCAGTGCAAGCTGATGGTCAATTGTTTTGTATGCGATTCAGCGTCGGCTAACTTGCGCATGATCTACGATGTCGGTGAGCGATGCCCTCCCAATGTCCTGGCACGCTGCTGAGAGTTTACAAAGTTTACACGCGTTCGATTTTCAACTTCGCAAGATCTTGTCGTGCGGAGTTGTGACGTGCATAACTGAGCAGTTCAGCGTGTGAGTCAGTCGGGGCAAGGGTTGCTGGGCATGGCATGACAGGTGATGAGCCAACGATGCATGATGCCGCTCGCCTTTCAAATAACTGTCAGCGGCTACTGAAAGTTTGCAGTTTGTAGTAGTTTGTAGTTTGTAGTTTGTAGTTTGTAACGTAGTAGATGCCATTTGCTGACCTGAGGCATCAAGCGAATTTGACATCAGAGATCCTGTGGAAAACAATGGACATCTTGCCGGATTTGTGGGGCCCTTACACTCCGGACACAACCTAATTACACAGAAGCCGCGATTCTATCATCTATCATCTATCGTCAGCAGTTAGCTCACGTTTGTGAGTTGCTGCCGATTTCTTACATAAGGTTCTGCTTCGCGTCACTCCTGGGGCAGGGGAGCCTGTTCTACGAACTCTTGGTTCATTCGCGCCAGCTTATCGAAAAAGAACTGGTGATATCATATGACCCGTCTTGAACTTAGTGTGCGTGATTCCGTGGCTAGCTAGCACGTTGGCATCATCAGCTCATGATTCCTCCGCTCCTTTCCAATGTTCCAGATTAAATGATTAAATGGTGATGAGGCCTTCAGCCGAAAACCAGCTATATGCGAGAGAGTTTGTGACGGAGGCTTTGAAGTGCAGTGCTCTGCTCAGTCGCATCCGGTAATAACTTCTGCAGTGATGATTCTTCTGAGTGGCCCGGAGTAGTGGTGGTTTGAGTCGAGTTTGAGTTTGAGTTGTTCGAGTCACAACTTGTCATGTTCATCATCCACTAGCTGGAGGTGCTCGCATTGGTTCAACAGCAGACGCGGACAGCTTGGTGAACCATAACATGGATGTGCTGTTGGAGATGGCAAACGGTGTCTGGACCTTGGTCGCCAGCCAGTGACAGTGATAGAGACTCGAGACACTGTTTGGAGTCTGGAATCTTGGATTTGGAAATTATATGCCTCAGGATTGGAAAAGCTCGCGAATGGTGCACCATTGTAAATTCGGCTGCTGCAAAAACGCAGCGGAGTCGCGTGCGAGCCTGACATGCTAGGCTCAGGAGTCAGGAGTGCAGTCTGTTGAGTCATTTGGTCAGTCACGTTCAGCGGCGCAGAGTCACAGTCTCATCGCAGCGCAAAGGCAAAAAACTTTGGTGCGCTGTGCTGGATGTCATATTCTCTTCGCGACCGGATATTCCCATCCTATCGCGATGGCTCACATGTGCATCTACCTCCAGATTCTTTATGCTGGCGACGGGAATGCACAACCTCCTCGGGAAAGCGTGGGGGCGGCTGTTCAAGGACACTGGCTGCAAGAAGGCCGGTTTGCTTGATATGTCAGTTCTGTCAGATAGGCAGGCAGGCACAGTCGCATGTCTTGTGCGAGCAGTTGTCGGTCGGCGGTTTGCGTTAGGGTTGACTGAAGCAGACAAGTGTTTGCTGCAGCTGTGCTGCACTTTCAAGATTGGTGTCAGTGAGTGCCGGTGCCATGGACATCGGAATCGGCGTGCCCTCCGTCACTCCGACTCCACCTGCCGAGACGCCCGAGACACTACTGCCAGCGGCATCCGACATGGGAGCCGCGCCGCCCGCCGAGGCAACTGATGCAACTGCGACTGCAACCGAGCAAGCATCCTCATCTGGCCCATCTGGCGGCGGAGATGCTCCCTCCATCGCGGCTGCGACCCGGACCCTGCCATCATCGTCAGCAATGCCATCCGCCGGACTCCCGCCATCTGCTTCGGTTTCGTCCATGCCCACTACGGACGACATCGTCAGCTTCATGCGCCAGGCTGAAGGCTTCATGCGGAAAGCTGACTCCTTTATGGACTATGCGCAACACTTTTTTTGAATGGTCGATCCCAAAGCTGAAGCAGGTAGACTCTATCGCCACGAGGCTAGCACCAGCTGGACCGCCCCCTCCGATGTTGCCTGACTCGTTTCATGCTGGTTCGAAGATTGGTAGCCTGGTAGACCTTATAGTCTTATAGTGTCGGAGTGTCGGAATCGAAGTTCGATTTGATTAGTGCTCGAGTAGTCTTTAGTACTCGGTGTCAAAGTTGTTGTGACGATTGTACGTGTGCCCAGCTGAGGCCAGTCGCTGTTGCGGTTTCAGCAGCTGGTTCAGCCCATGAGAGCGACGACAGCGAGCACATTTCCGAGTCCAGTCGTAGTTCGAGGAGCCGGAGCCGGAACAGGCGGCGTTCGCCCTTGCCCGGCTAGGCCTCGGCTCCGTTGAACGAGTCCATCAGCGTGTCCTGTAAGTTCTATTGGTGATAAATATTTATTCACCGGCTGCGGCTGAGTGATGTAGTCGTAGTTCGAGGAAGAGCCGTGGACTTGTCATTGGGAGGCCGGGGCCGGGGCAGTGTAGCTTTGGCTTTGTGTGGCCTTCTGACCTCTAGCTCTGGCGTTGACGGTTGGATCGATCGGCCGCGGAAGAAAGAAGCAAGATGTTCGTTATCACGAGATTGAGTGCTGCCATGTGTGAGTTGAGTTCATCCGGTTTAGGCTGAGACTTTGATTTGTTGAGAGATGTCTTTCGACAGGCCAGCGCAGCAGCCCTCATCGATGACACCGACGATTATCATCGAGTCCAGAGGACACGCGCACGACGCGTGAGCACCTTGCTCAAGAAGCCAAATTTGGCTTCATGCCTTAAGGTGTCGTCGATCATGATCGGCCCTGTCGAGCGAATCCAGCAGCCAGTCCTGTAAGTTCTGTTATTGATTGGCGACTGGTGATAACTGAGTGTAGTAGTGCGCGCCATGCCATTGCAATGACTATCCCAGGTTCAAGTTCTTCAAGGAGTCATCGAACCACCAATGGCTTTCCGACAACCCTTCAACA